TGTGTGTAATGAAGTCCAGGAACCCTAATCTGAAGGTCATACATGTTGATCTCCTTTACCCTTTGTGCCCTATCTCTTCCTAACATTCTCAGCTCAGTACAGGCCAAGAGGACATGCATATATTTTAAAATGTTCAGAGCATTATCCTTGTTCTCATCTAACTTTAGGTACTATTTTAATTTTTGAGCAATTTAGGAGAAAAAACAAATAGTAAATTGGTGTTAAAATCATATGTATCTCTTCTGTTTTTACTGGTCTTGAGCTCAAAGTTGACAATATGTGAGATTATGTTATAACATGCAATAAAATTTCCCAGCAGTACCTGAGCAATGCCATGGAAGTCCAAAAGCCTGCTTGTTTATTTCAGCTATCAGCTATCTCAGCTGTCTAAACTACTGGTTTATCTAACAAAAGATATTATCTCTCCCTATGCCCTCTGCCATAATTACTCCAGTCAGGGAATTTTGCTAACACTCTCCTGCTCTTTTATCCAGGTAGATATATTTTATATATGCTCCTATTTTTAATGCACACTTATTCGTTCTTTTTATCTAGAATTATAGGTATGTATAACGCTATAAAAGCAGAGCAACTGCTGTTGTTATCCTGTGCTGTGTGTTCCAGATTTGAATGCTGAGGTTGTTAACCTGGACGCTTTTGACAAGTTCAGTCCTGTGCTGCTTTCAAATCCTATGAAGTGGAACAAACTTACCTGAGTTTTGAGAAGCTGAGTGGGTAATTGTTTATTAACAATGTAGTTGATATCACTTTGATATGATAGTTTTTCCAGCTCAGGAGACATTTGTTTTCATTCTTGCTCGTATAAAGGACAGAAATACCTGAGCCACATTTCTGCCTCAGAGTTTATTTGTTTTACAATGGAGTCAAAACCAGTGCACACAGATTAGCAAAAGGTATTATCTGCATTTAGTGACACCATTTAATACCTGTGTCTAGGAATCCAGGGTAGATCTGCCACTGGGTGTGGGAATAATGATGCACAGCAATTTTGGGCACTTCATACAAGGCAGTGTATGAGGCTCTGAGGCACCTGCTGTACTTTCCTGTGGTCTCATGTTCTGATACTTGGTTGAGCCCAGAGTGGAAGAGTAATAGCATTTCCCATCACCAACTTCTTTACAGGAACTGCAACCAGTTTAAGATTGTACATGTACTGCCCTCCAGGGAGGACAAAATGAAACTAGTGCTGGAGCACCTCTGCTGTGGAGACAGGCTGAGAGAGCTGGGCTTGTTCAGGTTGGAGACAGGAGGATTCCAGGGAGACCTTAGAGCCCTTCCAGTGCCTAACAGGGGTACAAGAGAGGCCTTATATATATGAGAGTAAATATATGCCCTCAGAATGACTTATCTTTAGATGTCTTTTTTATGTTCTTGGGTTATTTTAAAGTTAAGGGGACTAAAACCAAAATGTTTTTCAGACTGCTCTGATTTTTCTTCAATTTTTTGTTCCTTTCTCACATCCACTGCTGCACATCTGCAAATATAGCCTTTGTGATGTGTTTTGACTCTCTTTACTCACCTGTGGAAACAGCCTCTACATGGTGTATCTCGAGACATGCTTCTCATTTACTAGAAGTGTGTCCTGTTCAGCTTAGGTATGTGTCCTTTGAAACAATCATTCTAAAAGCAAGTGTTGGAGAAAACCCATTTATGCTGCATGAAAGATCTGTCCTCTGGGGCCCTTCTTCTCAAAACAAGAAAAGATCTCCATACTTTTTCCTCTGCAATGTGACATCTTACCAGTAGCTTCCTACTTTGATTTGTTTGGAGGAAAATATGTGGCTTAGGTTGAAGGACTGACTCCTTTCCAGGCCAGGCACATTTCCCACTCAAAACCTGCTGGCACTTGAGGTTTCTTCGCAGTGAAATCCAGTGTCTCCCACCAGCACTGCTGGGTGCAGTGTGTGAAGCACCTCCAAAGCACTTTTTCTTCTCTTCCTACTCAAGCCCTCTGCGTTGTGCTGTGGGTGGTGGTGTCCACAGCACAAGCCTTTTCCTACCTAATTGCTGAACACAGAGGTGAACATGCTCACTTTCATGTCTTGTAAAGGTTTTTCAAACCACCACAGATGTGAAACGAGGAAACAGGATTCCACTGCCTGAGTTAAGTGCACCGAGGCACTCCAGGGCACATGGGACATTTACAGGAATCATGCAGGACCTGGGGGAGAACTAGAGATTTCTGGAGCCTTGGCTCAGTTAGCCCACGTGCCCTTCCTGCCCCATGTCCCCTGAGAAAGAAGACAGCAAAGAGCAGGACAAGTTTGTGATCTCTGAAAACCACCAGAAAAGAAAGGAACATCGAGCTGGAAGGCCAGGGATCTACTGATACATGTGACCACTTCTAGATGCCTGTTGTGCATCGGGGCATCAGTTCTCAGACGGGATCAGCTGTGGGAAAACACTGTCAGGGCATTCATAATCATATCTCTTGTACCTCTAATCTTACAGTGTGATGTTAATTATTAATTGAAAATGGCACTGGGCCAAATTCTAATGGCACTGGAGTGTTATAAACCTGGAATAATTCTGCTTAAGAATGTGGCTTTTCTCCTGTGCAGTCAAGATTGTAATGTTGACAGATAACAAACACAGTGGAAGGAGTCAGCAACTTTGGGCCTGATTGTGAGAACTTCCTCTGTGAAGTCTGGGTGGGTCTTTTACCAGCTGAACTGAAGACACGAAATTACCACATTCGTCTCTGTAATATTCCTCCAATGTGGACTTAGGTAGTTGATAACAGCAATGCCATCATGTGCCATTCAGGAGGCAAATTTTGCTGCTATAATAATATTTCAAAGATGGAAAGTCTGATGCTGGTTGGCTGATGCTCCACGGAAAGCTCAGCAGCGTTCCTTATATATTGCAAGACATGAGAAGGACCAGCTTCTTTTGCCATTGCAGAAATGGGCTCCAGCATCTTCCCACTGTGCCTAACGCTTCTATTATGTTATGTTTATGGTTCTCCACTCTCTGTAAGTGAATTCTAATTTCTACAGACTCTGAGTAAAACCCGAATTCTACAGGCTCCTCTCAGTTCACAGACATCTCATACCTTATAGTGACTGTATTTCATTCTCTTTCAGGTGGGGAACCACTCCAGTGGAGCTGGTAAGTGCTGTGTGAGCTGGTTTGAGTTTTGAAGCTTCTTGTGCTTTGAAGTTTCTTGTGCTTGCTTGTGCCACCACATCCAAACACATAACGTTTTGTCTTGTCTTGCAGATGCTGAAGCTGGTGAGATATTCAAAGACATTCCAGACATCAACTTAGGTGAGTTCACGTCCAAATTCTGATGAGGCCTGAAAAGCTGTGAGCAAAATGCTGAATTTTCTGTATTGTAAAAAAGATTAATGATAGGTAGCTCACAGTTACAAGAGAAATATGATCAAGTGAGCTCTGAATTACCTTCCTCTGGCTATGACACCTGAATCTATGCCAGGACTATGACCCTATGTAAACAAGGGATGCAGAAGTCTTTAATTTCTGAAGTTTGGACAGACCCATGGTGTTCTGATAGAAACACATTGTATCAATTGGAAGGGATCTGGAGTCCCAAAGCGTTTTCTACCCATCTTTATATGATTTTGATAAAGTTTTTCAAAGATGGAAAACAACTTAGATGTTTATTGAGCTTCTATGTAAGTAGGAAGAAATCAGAGGGAAGAGACACAACACACTGTACTGTCTTCCTCCATGATTTTTATTTCCTGCAAATTTCCATCAAATATTTCTTTTGATGGTGCACTGTGCAATATTCTTCCTCATGCATTGCTTGACATTACTATGTTCTCCAGAGCACTGTCTCACTTCATGACTGTTGTCACTGCCTGAGAGCAAGCAAGATGTTATCAAAAGAGACATGGATAGTGGTGGCCACCAGATTTCTGCTACCACGAATGCAGACATTGCCAAGTGTAAATATTGAGTAGAAACTGCTGTTACTTTTATTATTACCTATATTTGAGTGTATAGAGGCTGGTCCTTACGTATTTTCTGTAAATGCTCAGGTACATTAACCTTGTATAAGTAGATTCAATATGGTTTATGAAATGAAATATATTTGATCTTTCATTTACATTGTCTTTCATTTACATTGTCTTTCATTAAATTGCTTTCCAGCTGCTGGACAGGACCTCTTTCAGGGTGATATCATGCTCCCTGTAAGTAGTTAAAACTTTCTGTCACTTGTATTTTTGCTGCAAATCTGCTCATCTCCCCACAGCAGATGCATCACCAGCTGTTAATTCCATTTTCAGAAAGATCAACGAAATGCTCTTAGAAATGAGACTTACAGGTGGAAGTTCCCCGTTCCCTATATTCTGGGTGATGACCTAGGTAATTTAGACACTTCATTCAGACTTTATCTCCAATCCTTATTTGCACTGGAGTCACTGTAATAAAAAAATCTGCCTTTTTCAGAACTGGTTCTCTCGTATTGAAATTTTAAAATTCACTAATAACAAGATAAACTAACTTGTTTATGTCAAAACCATTTTTATTTCTTCTAACAGCTAACATAACAAAACACAATTTAATCAGATTCAGTAATTTTTCTCTTCAATTATTTTTCTTTTCAATCATTTTTCTTTTGAATAATTTTTCTTTTGGTCCCCTGTGTGTATCTGTGTACATATGTTACCTCTCTAGAGGGAATGATCTGCAGTTTGTTAAAGGTATCTTCCCAACGCACGTTTTCTAGATCTGAATGCCAAAGCAGTAATTCTCCAGGCATTTGAAATGTTCCGCCTGAAGTCCTGCGTTGATTTCAAGCCGTATGAAGGAGAAAGAACCTACATAATCTTTAGAAAAGAAGACGGGTAAGGGTTATATCAATTTCTGTTTAGTTTTGCTGTGTAGAATCAGCAGGGAATTAATTCCATTTGACTTCAGCAGTCTAAAGGTTCACTGTCAGCAGAGGAAAAGAGGCCACCGAGAAAACAATCCCTTACCTTTTTAGACACAAAACTTGTAAGATGCTGCCTCCTTCTGCTGGCTGCAGAGGCTATTCAGACGATGAACTTGGAATGGGAATCTGATGTTTGTTTGGGTGGTTACTCTTCAATGAGGTGAATCCCAACATTGTTGCGTTTTCCTCAGCTGCTTCCACTTCACTACCAAGGGTTGTTTTCCATTTCAGTGGAGGGTGAAACAACCCCCATCTTGAATTACCAAGGATGTAAATAGCTAGAATTTAGATTTTGAAATCTTTACAAGACAGGTTAAAAAAGCTGTGAAAAGCCAGTTTATTTTAATATTTCTGTTATGTTAATATGTTGATATGGCTCTTTTTTAATGAATGCTTCTCTCAAAATCTGAAAGGGTTTTGTACACAAAGATTCAATTTTTCAGGAACTGGAAGGATTTATTTTATTTCCTGCAGCTAAATGTCTTTTGAAAGAAAATCCAGAAAAGCACACAAATTTTCTCACTATATCAGCTGTGAATATTTCTTGTTCTCTCAGAACTTCAGGTCTATAGGCACTGTTATCAGGTCTATAGGCACTGACATTTTTGCCCTCAGCCTTTCCTTGGGTAATGTGTTCTATGACATTTCTCTTACAAGACCACAAGCACCACAATTTTTGGCAAGTTGGTGATGGAGAGCCTGATACTGGAAACGCCCTGGTAGCAGCTATTCATGAGACCATAGGCTCAAGTTCTTTGTTTTCAGTGCCCACATCAGTGTGTTCAGAACTCCTTAGTAAACTCAACCAGACGCTACTTTGTGATGAGCAAATGAAGCTGCAGCCAAAGCAGATGCTCTTCAGCACTTGCCTCTCA